GAAGAGGTTTCCGATTCTTTCCACGTTCTCCGTCTTCACTCTAATCGATTGGTTCTCCCCGCCTAGGTACGAACGATATTTTTGTGGTAATATCTTTTGATATTTAATTCAATTCCACGAGATGAAATGGAAGGAAGCAGAGAGATCAGAGTCGACTTTTTCTTAGGTGCCTCTTGTCGCCCCAGCCCACGTCGTCGGTCGCCTCTTGTTCGCTGTGATTCGTCATTGTTAGCATCCCTCTGTTTATCCAAGATGTACTGTAGGTGCCGGATAGGTCGAACGCCGGATTATACCGCGATTATCGGAGGATACCGCGAGCTCTTCTTGTGCCTCCGCGTGTGCCTGGCCAACTGTCTCAGCGTCTGATTCGGCCCTCTGCTCTCGATACCGAGCTGAGACATCGCTCGGTAGTGTCAGGCGTGGAAGGAAATCAAACGTCTACGGGTGGCGGAAAAGCAATCGGATTCATTGACCAGATTGATTCCTCAGTTGGGGAGACATCCTGCCAATATAAAGATTCCTCTTACTAGCGATCGAGCTCACATCTTCGCGTACAGTCGATGTAAGTGTGCCGTAAGGAGTGTGCTCGAGCGACACGTACGTGAGTGCTTCTTAGATAATAATGTAACATTTTCGCTTGAGTCTCGAGCCACTCCGTGTGGTGGTCGTCTCGATTTGTTCAGATTCGAGATCGCCCCGAGGCGGCGATCATCCTCCGAATTCCGGAGCGGTGATGCCCTGCCTCGAACATCGTCGATTGCACTCTCGATCTTGGTGAAGAGTCATGCAAACGGAAGTGGTCGCCGCTTATCGCAGCGAGCGTGGATGTAGTGTAGTCGTAGTAAGGACAAAGCGCTACGCATCGGCAGTGCACCGCCGAGGTAATGGAGCTCGCTTTCGCGAAAACGTCTTCGTTCAACGACTCGTTTGCTCGCATGCGCCTGCCCGAGAGTTGGTCGCCGGCCGGTCATCTTGTAGGCAGGATCGGAACCCGTCGCTTTTGTCGCGGTCTTCGTTGCCGTTGTCTCAGTTATGTTGGCTGGATACTTGACGTTCATATCAACCGCTCATCGGGGTCCCCTTGTTGTTTTCTTCGGATCCGTCCAGCCGTCAGTCGGCCAGTCAGTCAGTCAGTCAGTCAGTCTGCCAGTTATGCAGTCGGACGGTCCGTCGGTCGGCTGGTCGGTCGGTCGGTCGAAATCAGTCCGTCAGTCAGTAAGCTACTCAGTCAATGAGTTCGGAATGATCTGTACTCGCCGCTTTGTCTGGGAACAGGAGCGATTCCTGCTTAGCGAACTCGGGTAATCCCGGGGATCCGGCGCTGGAGGACGATTCCATAAGGGAAGAGGTGGAACAATGAGTCGATTCTCGTTCCAATGCGGACTAGCTCACAGGCGTTTTTCGGGCGCGGGGCGAGTCGGGTTGTATGCGTAAGGCGATGCGGCCTACGCTCACGTGCCTGTCATTGCCGTTCGAGCATTCTGAACGTTCCATCTCGCTTCCCTGCGAAGTTTCGCTGAATGTTTTCTATGCGGCTCCAGACTATTCTCTTTTCGAAGCACGTCTAAATTTGTATGGAGACGACGGTACAACGGATGGATGGACTTGGATGCGCGTACGAACAGACAAGAAGGATGGCGACCGTCTCTTAACGGACCAGATTTGTTTCCGTTCGCGGAATTCGGAAGTGATTTTCCTCTCTGTTTTCCTCTCCCTGAGCGTCGACATTGTTAAAATGAGAACAAATGCGTCCATGGTTGAAGAATCGAATCGAGCTCCTCCATTGGCGCATACCGGGTGCTTGATGGGTGGATTGACGGGAAGATTAATGGATGAATAGATGGTAACGCAGAAAGTCTGACTGACTGATTGACTGGCGGACAGACATACGGGTGGTGGAGAGTCTGTGGCGGCGCCCTATTGATGGGCGGAAGAATCAACTCAAAAATATTGCTGTCGTTGTTGTCCACTGGGTTATTCAAACACTTTGCTTTGATCACGATGGAGGAAAAGTTTCTTCCTTTTATTTCTTTTCCTCTCGTGATTCCCCGAATCGAGCCGGCACTCGAGTCGACTTCGGCGGTGTCGGCGGTGGCAGCGATGATAGACGAGAATCAAACAGACTGACTTCTCCAATTAGCGGACGGAAACGCTTCACGAGACGGGAGTTGCCTTCTGTGAGGATCAACGTCAGAAGTGTCAGCCGCGCTTAGCTTCGCCAATCGCAACGGCACCATCGGTGGCCGAACGGGCGGGCGGCGCGCATGGTGAAGTGAGTGCTCCATTCGTCCCTTCTCCTTTTCAAAGTTTGCGTATTCTGACGTCGTTCGCGCGCCGTGGCAGCCACTTCGTTGACTTGGGCTTCACTCGTTTGGGGCAAGTCGCCGGCAGAGAGAGAGGGGAGGGGGGGCAAGACTAACACAGGCACACGCGTCGTAACGGGGATAGCGCTGCAAGCCGGCTTTCTTCAGACAATCAGTCGACGGACGCCCCAGCGGGCGCACTAAGGGAATTTGTGAGAGTTTGCAATCGAACTTGGTGTGTCTGTCCGGTACTCTTACATACATTAGCGCCGAGCGAGTCCTCATACTTCGAGACTGGATACGACCTACAGTGAAACGACAGCTCGACCTCCGTCAGAATTTAACGAGTGGAAGGCAGAAAGTTCAAATCGGTGACGGAATAAGCGCCCGCGGATATTTCAGAGGTGCGCACGAATTAGCCATCCTCTTGTGTAACTCGTGCAGTGAAGACTCCTGCTGATAGCTTTTCTCACGGTGAGAACAATCTTCCATCAATACAGACAGGTCTCCTATCCCAACCTAGGTGCGGCAGACGAGATTGTCCCATCAGCTGTGAACGCTACGGGAGCCGTGAGCTCGGATGCAAGCGGCGCCGTTTCAATCGCGAGGCATAATTTCGGTTGAAAGCCCGGAATTCTCGACGGCTCTCTCAGTTGTGGGGATCATGATAATTTGAACTGTATGCGTATTTTGTGTCAGTTCGTACGGATCCCGCTTCTAAGGATTCGAGTCGAGAGGTCCTCGTGAGGATTTCAAGAAAATCCTGCGGAGGAGGGACCCTTCAGCTAGACGATGGATTTGTTGCCATGTCTTCGGCAGACTCGAGCGCCGCCTCCTCCTCGAGCTCCTCGACTGTGCGGCTTCAGGCGACTTCAGCAAAACTCTGCTTATCTTCCGCAGCTCCCGCTCTGTGGAATATCTCTTTGATCGCGATTTATCATTCACCGGTGGAAACTGCAAACAATAGGCTCAAAGGTGTATTGTAGTTTCGTAGGATTCCAACTTGAATCGAGCGACAGGGGAAGATGCTATCTCACCACGATACCATGCTGTTTGCATTTATAGGCGCCTGTCTCCGCGACAAGACTTCGTTCACGCGCACGTATTCCAACAAGTCGCCGGAGAGAAATTCTGCGGGCAAATGGCTCTCGGATTTCCTATCGCCACGAATGATGTTCGTGAATCAAGTCTTGAAGTAGTTCGTGTGAGACAGAAAAAAAGTGGTGAAAGACCCCCGTGCGAAACGTTTCCACATTATTCTCCGAGAAAAATGATTCGTGATTCCTAACAAGAAATAGCCACCGGTGCCTTCTAACCACACAATCGATTGTGCTCGAGCGAGCTCGTGATGGTGTGCGGAAAAACGCTTTTCTCACGTTCAGCGATTTTGTCAACGCTCAGATGTTTCAAATCTCGTGGGAACTGAATTCGGATCTGCCGAGTTTTTCGAAGTTGTGAAACAGTTTCTGATCGAGGAAGGTCGTCTTCTTCTCAGTTTTTGTTGGATCCATCAATGTTTCGGAAATTAGATCGAGTCCGCTGTAAACGTCGAGATCTCTCGCCATGGATTGCCTCGGATTCCGTGCAATCCGGATTCCGGGGGTTTCCGAAGAAATCGCTGCGGCTTCAGGAAGGCTTTTGATCAGCTCGATATTTCATTCCCGAGGTTATTCGATCGAGCCTCCGTCTGAGGGCGGAAAAGCAGTGCAGTCTGCAGCCTTGCATATTATTTATTTTATTTACAAACCATTTAAAAAAAATCGTCGTTTTCTGTCACCGAACGTATCTCTGAAGGCGGAAGACGTCATATATACCCGAATGGAACGCCACCGACTTCATTCATTCACTCACTTCGAAGACTGCCGTCGGGTTCCGCTCAAAGCTCGATTTCTCTGCCCGTCAAAAACGACACTAGGGCTTTGTCTGAACTGGCGCCGCCGCCGCGGCGCTGTCACTGCCGCTGCGGCGTGAGAAGTGCCTCGGATATTCTTCTGCGTTAGTGGAAATCGAGAGGAAAAAACAGTGGAAAAACTCGGTGCGGAAATCAGTGATTCATCGATCACTCGTTGGCCGGTTCACTCGCCGACTCGTTCGCCCGATCGGTGCATCGATCCTTCGACGAGCAATTCATTGGGTGCCCGATATTCTCGCGGGACGAAAGCCGATGCCCCGACGGAAACGATTCCCGTTTTCATTTGAAGTTTGTGAACACATTTTTTGCTGCCGGTTCTCGTCGTGGTCGTTAGTAGTTACGGCTCGTGATGTCCCGACCACGCAGGCGAGTGATTGATCTTAGATAATTTTCCTTCCATTTTTGTCCACCGACTTTTCAGAATCAAAACTCCTTCCTATCGAGGGGAGCGCGATACATTGCATTCCTTGAACGAAAGCACATGCGATGGTGTTTCTTTTCCCGTGCGCGTTGAACAAGTAGCTTCCGTCTTGCTTCGATGAAGTCGACAGACTAGGGTGGTCGGTGCCGTGATTAGAAGTGTATTCTGGGATGCTCCTCGATTTCCCGATGGGGAAAAAATCTCGCTGTGATCGCATGCTCGTCACCCGACAGCGCACCACGATCGTTCCGTGCTTCTGGTGGATAGTAACTAGATTTGAACGGTTGCGCTCGAATCGTATTCAAAGTCTTCCTGATTTCCCAATTTCAGAATCTGAGCATCTGCATGAGCGGTACGGAGCGCCATGCGAGCTCTCCTGCCTGTACTACTTCTGCTGGGGCCCTGCAGAAGTCAACTTTCCCATGAGTTGACTAAACTCCAGAGACAGGGCGTTCAGACGCCACACATCCTCTTCATGGTTCCTGAAGCACCCCATCCGGCTGAAGGAGGTCCCGAAGGTTCAGAAGAAGTCGCCTCGTCGGAGGAGAGACGGCCGGAGCAAGATGCGGTCTTCGTTCCCTTCGTCGAGGGTAGCCCTGGCCTGGTGAGGTTCGAGCAGCGGCCCAATCACGAGGAAGCTCATCCTCTGCCAGAACATGGGCCTCCTTTCGTTCAGGAAGCCCCGAACGTCCACGGTCCGGTTATCCACCGGAATCAGTATGCGAGACCCCCGCACAGGGGTATCCATTCTCATCCGGGAGTCCTCGGACAAGCGGTACCGCATCATCCTCACATTGTGCCGCAGCCAGAGCAGCCTCTCGAGCGGCATCCCGGAGCCCATCCGACCGTTTACCAGATACCACCGCAGCACGACGAAGGTGGATCCGGCGGGAGCCCCCACGTTATATTCCAGAGCCCACGGCCCGGCGGACAAAATGGAGTACATCCCCATATAATTCAACAAGGTGTTCAGCCGGTTTTCATACCGGCTGGACCTCCTCAAGATCCTAAAGTGCAACAGCCGCCCCAGGATTTCGTGATCCTCCGAATTTTCAATGATTCTAGTCAACCAGAGCTAATCAACGGAGGTCCATACAGCGTGTCCGAAACTTCCGAGCCCCGCGTCGAAAAGCCTGAGGGAGCTTCGAAGGGGCCCGTGACGAGCGGACGACCAGCTGCACCGGATCGACCTCGCCTAGTCTTACCCATAGCTGAGATTGCCGAGTCCGCTGACATTGTGGGCGGTCTGTCTGAGGACGGGGAGAAAAGCCAGAGCTCAACAGGCGATGGACAATTCTCCATCCCGTCCTCATCTTCGGAGTCGGGCGAGACATTCAGGGCAGGAGGATCTACAAAAGTGAGAACGAAAGAGAACGAAGGATCCACGAAAGAAGTGGACTCTTCGTCTTCCGGAGAGCGACCTTCGACCGGTCTAGAGAAGAAGCCAACAGCCACCACTGAAGCTCCAGCTGTGAGCCCTCCCGCGACGACTGCAGCCCTCCCTGTCAGCACGGGAGAAGAGAAGAGAGAGCCCGTTATAGTGTTCATGTCGAATGGGCCTCTGACCCTGCCGACGAGAGCTCCTGAAGAGATGAGTGGACCTGTCACGCAATCCTCCCCGACGACGCCCCCTCCGACCGTCCCTTCCACGACTTCGGAAAGCTCCGTCTCTCTTTCGACCTCGGAAAGCTCTGTCTCTCCCTCGACCTCGGAGAAATCCGTCTCTCCCACGACCTCAGAGAGCCCCGTCCCTCCCACGACCTCGGACAGCCCCGTCCCTCCCACGACCTCGGAGAGCCCCGTCCCTCCTACGACCTCGGAGAGCCCCGTCCCTCCTACGACTTCAGGGAGCTCCGTCTCTCCAGCGAATCACACGGAAAGTTCGCCAGAGACGACAACATCCACGGCGCCCCCAGCTTCTAACCCTGAATCCGGAAGTCCCTCCGAGCTCGAACCGGTCATCATAGTTTGGTCGGAGCCCTCAACAGATCTGAGCTCGACGACGACGACCACAACAACAACTGATTCTGTTACCCTCCCCTCCATCAAGGAAAAAACGGAAACCACTCCGAGTGTATCGGTAGCCCCGAAAAGAAACAGCGAGGTGACTTCGACTGAACAAGAAACCTTGCATCGAACTCCCTCGACCACTGAAGCGTCTTACCCGACAACCTCGACAACGGCTAAACCCGACGTATCAACGACGACAGCCACGAGCCCAGAAGCGTCATCGCCGTCTACTTCGACGACTCAGGAGGCTCACTCGCGGGCTACTCCAGGTCTGTCGACGCGATCGTCTTCGACCACGACGACTCCGGCGTCGCTGGGAAAGACGCACGACCCGTCAGGACGCAGTACTATCACCGCATCGTCGACGTCCCAGAGCTCTTCGTCGACCGAAGCGACATCTTCGGCTAGCAGTACTCTGAGCGTCGCGAGTACGACGACAACGACTGCCACACAATTGTACGTCAAAGCTTCTACTCCGACGACAGCTGCTCCGATCACCGCGGTACACACAGAGACGGAATCACCTGCTGTGTCTAACACCAGCACGTCAAGTGCAGTAGCGACGAGCTCAACCACGGAAAAAACAAGTCCGTCTCCGTCGACCACGACAACGAGTACAACGACGACCAGCACCACCACCACAGCCGCTCCCACGACAACATCGACGACATCGACGACAACGACGACGACGATTCGAACGATAACGCAGGCTGAGCTCGACAAAATGTCGTCCGAGCCTTTCGACTTCGTCACAGAGCGCGAGCAAGTTCGGATCGAGAGCTTCTCAACAAGTTCAGTGTCTCCGTCACCCGCCTACGTCCCCACGGAGTCCACAGTCGCGGAGACAAACGTCTCCGAGGTGACGGCGAACGAAATCAGCAACGAATCGGCCGATCACCCCGAGACAACGATTCTCACCACGAAAGAAGACGTTCTCCGAACGGACACACCCGCTCTTCCGGGAGTCACTCGCAGGCCGTCCACGCGAACGACTCCATCGCCTTCCCCATCTTCGTTGCCGCCTCCCTCGTCCACCCAGCCACCACGACGGTCTCCATCTCCTCCCTCCACGATCGCTCCGCCGAAATACTACGACCTCCCATCAGAAAAGGAGAAACCCTCGGTTTTCCCGACTCACACGATTCGGACCCGGAACGGTCAAATGAGAGGAAACGTTATAAAAACGTCGGCCGGTGTTCGAGTGAATTCGTTCCTCGGGATCCCTTACGCTCAACCACCTGTCGGCGGGATGCGATTCGAAAGACCTATGGAGTTCCCGCCATGGACCGGGGTGTTCGAGGCGAAAAAACTTCCGAAATCGTGCCCACAACCAACAATGCAATTGAATGGATTCGTTGGGGTGAACGTTTCCGATACGAGTGAGGACTGCCTGTATCTCAATATTTGGAGTCCGTTCTGCGACGGCTCGAAGAAATGTCGCTCGAGACCTGTGATCGTCTATATCCACGGCGGGGGCTTCATCCACGGAGGTACGAACTGGCCCATTTTCGACGGAGCCGAATTGGCAGCTAAAGCCGAAACGGTCGTTGTATCCTTGAATTATCGTCTCGGAGCCCTGGGTTTCCTGTACGTCCCATCGAATGGGGGAAGACCCGAACGAGCCAACATGGGTCTCTACGACCAACACCTTGCTCTGCGATGGGTCAAGTCCAACATCAAAGCTTTCGGTGGCGACCACAACAAGATCACGATCATGGGACAGGATGCGGGATCCGCATCGGTCGGCTACCACATTCTCACGCCGAGGAGCACCGGTCTTTTCAAACGAGCCGTCATGCAATCGGGAAGTCCCTTCAGTTTCGTGCTGCGGAATACGAAAGACCAGGGAGAGACTCTATTCCGTTCCTTGGCGAGCTACACGGATTGCATGAGCGTTCATTTCAACTCGACGCTCCGCTATGACGACGTCTTGCAGTGTATGAAGAAGCAGCCTTTCGAGAACATTATCGCCGCCTCGGATAAATTCAACGGCAAGGGAGCCAATTCCTTCTTCCCCATCATGGGCGAAGAGTTCATTCCCATGAATCCTAAGGATTCCCTCCTCTTGAAACGATTCAGCAATGTAGATCTCCTGCTTTCCACGACCAAGTCGGAGGGTGCTTTCTTCCTACAGCACTTCTTATCGCCCTTCACTAATGTCAACGATCCAGACAAGATAAATCCAGGCGAAATAGTCTTCTACCTCCGGGTTTTCCTCAGGTAGGCGAAGTTTTCCGATCGCGCTACGTATGTCAAGGTTTCCTAGAGGAATTCGATGCGGTAGGTACCGGACATCGATGAGATCAGAGTGGCATACCGTGATACAATAATAATCTCTTCTAGCGCACTGCTTGGCGGAAAACCGACGGCTTCCCTAAACGAGCTGACCCAAAACACCGAGCCAGAAACGCGCGAAGAGAAAATTCAGTTCTTGAAGAACATATCCGCTGTGATCGGGGATTATCCTTACCTGTGTGCCACGACTGAATTCGGAACGGAGTACGCGAATCTTCGACACAACGGTGAGTTCCTCCCCCCAAACTACCTTCGCTGCTACACCCTGAGAAGATTGTCGCCAGCGACGGAATCGAAAAGGACCTCTGACAGAGCCCTACAAAAATTCAATCGCCACGGTTTTCTACTCTTTCAGTGTACCACATGCAATACGACCATCGCCCCTGGTTCTTGCTGCACCCCACATGGTTCCCGTCCACCCACAACGACGACATCATGTTCTGGTTGGGCTCAGTTTATAAACTGAAAGAGAGAACGCGCGCAGATGAACGCGTCGCCGATGAGCTCATAGCGATATTGACAGCTTTCGCAAGCAAAGGGTTAGTGAAGTTCGAGACGGAGGAATCATAGGGATGACTTCGTCGTCCTCGACTTGCCGCGAAAGTCAGCGCAAACCCAGCATTCGTTCAATACGTATAGTTTCCATCGGCACCCAATCAAACGAGTACCCTCTTCTTGCAGGACGCCTCAAACCCGAGGGAAGCTCACTTGGCCTCGGATAAATCAAGGCGGCTATTACATGAGCGTAGGCTCCGAAGTCACCGAACTGCTCCGGAAGCCCTCCGCTAACTGCCGCCTCTGGAGTCGACATTATCCTCAATACTAGACACAGAGGAAACCAGGACCGGACCGATAGAATGAATTTTCATCCGGACAGCCATGTCGTATCCGTCGACACGATGGATGACCATAGACCGCAAGGATGATCTAGACAGGATTCGAGGATGATAGTTCATTTAATTTATTCCGTCGCTCCAAAACAGTGCCAGCAAATAGACGTTGCAATTCTGTACATAAGCAATATTTAAGCCAGTCAAAGACGAACTGTAGGCCTCAATGATATGTATTTATCGGGTCGTACCGTACACATATACTGTCAATAAAGTCAGACGATGAAAGGAGAGATTTCTTCTCAAGGCATGCTTGGCATGGAATTGAGAAGGAATTATCCAAGTCCGACAGCAACATCGGGAGCCCCTGCCTGAATCACTGCGCAGTCTATGCGACGAGCGACCAACGGAAACGCCGACTCCTCAAACGAATAGCCCTCAGATATAGGTGGTCCTAGGAGGCGAATTCCAGGAGGCAAACCAGAGATGGATTTACGATAATCCTTTACATGACCGACGGCGGCATTTAAGACACCATCTCCAAAGCTGATCCCTTCCGCTGATTAGGCGAACTGCAGAATCCGGAGCCCAATGCTGCTCATGATTTACAGGGGGTCTTCGACATCGGAGCCTTAAAGATTCGAGCCGATCAAACTATCTCACATTCGTGCCACCATGCTGAGCGAGGCGAGTATGCAGATTTTTGTGCTAGTGCTGGCGGTGTTCCTCCAAGATTCGTGCGGGGCTGGTACGCAAGATGAAATACATGGCTATCCGATTCATAGCAGCTGTCAACTCTGACTCTCTGAATGCGACTGGGATCTCGACCTTCGGTTTCAGCCAACTATGAAGCCACATGCGGAATCTTCAAGAGACCGACATCAACTTGGAGATCCCGGGTCAGTTCCCTCCGGGAAGAGTCCACCAGCCCGTACATATTGGGGGGTATTACGTCCTCCACCGACGACTTCCCATGGATGGTCAGTTTACGTCGGCTGCGTCCTGGCAATAAAGTTTCCACACATTTCTGTGGAGGCTCCATCGTGTCTGAAAATGCCGTAGTGACGGCCGCGCATTGCGTCGAAGAAGCCTCAGAGTAGGTGCTCCGACGACTTAATCCGACCGCTAACCATTTGACATGTGCGATGGATGTATGCGAGTCCAGATGTACGATGTACATACAAGTTATCACTCGCAGTCAGAATCCCATCGTCGTTCTGTTCTACGATACGCAGAAGAAAATGTTCGTGAGGAAGATAAAGCGTATCGTGATACATCCTCGCTACAACACTCAGACCAACGACTACGATATCGCCATCCTTGAGACCGAGAGCAAATTTGATTTCGGCGGGGCCGAATCCTTCCTTCGACCAATCTGCTTGCCGAAGGAAGACGACCAAATCGAACTTTGGAGGGTCTGTGCTGTCGCCGGCTGGGGTAAATTGAATCAAGAAGACAGGTACGCTTCTCGATCTCTGCTCATGTCCGATGTGCCGATCGTTGACAAGCGTTTGTGTCAGAGGTCGTACTCTTTCCTGAATCCGATCACAAACCGGATGTTCTGCGCCGGAGATTACGAGCACGGCCAGAAAGGGACCTGTCAGGTGAGTCGGATTCGGACTAAGCGGGTGAATTAGCGGGATACGTGCTTGGGAGAACTCCCTGATTGTAATCCCGGAGTTTATGAGATGAAGAATGAAATACTCCTGAATATCGGTGAGGGGGCATCGCTCTGTTTCCTCGCAGGGTGATTCCGGAGGCCCCGTTATGTGTCTCCGTCCGGACCGCCAACGGTACCAGTTGATGGGCGTCACCTCATGGGGCTTCAGCTGTGGAAAAGCGAAATTCCCGAGCGTTTTCACTGACGTCGCAAAACTCACTCAATTTATCAAGGAAACTACCGGGCTGGAATGAGTTTGAGCCACAAATCAGATGATGACAAATTTCCTCGCGTCCCTGATCTCCTCTTCTCTGTAGAATAAAGCAAGTCTCTCACACGGCATCGGGGAGGATCCTTGTTATTAGCGAATCTCCATTTCGCGTAGAATCCAATTTTATTCCCTCGTCTGCAGATCTATTTCATGTCGCCTCCATTAGATTCATTTATCAAGTATAATTCATAGTTTCCTCCTTCAGCGGCTTGACTCCCCAGATCAGTATTGAACGCCCCCCCCCTCTGCGAACAGGGATCACGGGACTCGAGCCATCTAATCCCGCCGGGTCTAAATGTCACTCGAGCGGGAACGGAACTCAGGAATTACGTGGCGAAGATTCCTCCCGCGTCTCCTTCAGCTACCGATACCGACTCGAGCTACAGCTCTCGGTACCGGAATCTGAATCTCCGAAGAGTGTTATCTAATGACGGTGTAGAAGTCTACGGAGGAGGGGGGGTTATGGAAACGTGCGGTCTCTACATAGAGCGGGAATGGTCAGCAGAGGTCGTCTTAGACCACACGGCAGTCTCGAGGCGGCTCTTTGACACAGTACCCGATTCAATTAAGGACACTTTTTAATCACAAAGCGGACATCGGGCTGCCCTAGGAGAGTCGGATTCGATCGTCCATCGTCCGCTTCGATGGCGCTCGTGGCTACTGAAAGCTCGGTTGACTCGCAATGCTTGATCTTCTATTCATTGAGCGCGGAAGCATGCGACCCGGATGGGGGCCATGCCTTGCGCTCGCGGTAAAGTTTCTCTTTAGCCAAGGTATACATTCTATTGGATAAGAAGATTAAATTGTCTTGTCAATGTTGAGACGCGACACCGTTAGCGATTACTCGCTTCACTAACTTTCACCCACGCGCTCGCTCGCTCGCTCGCTCGCTAGCCGGATCGCTACCGTCACACAGGGTCGGTACAGCAGCAAGGCTGCGATGTTGAGAGAAGTGAGCGAATTTCCGACATGATTTCAGTGAGAAACTTCGAAATTTCCGTTCCCCTACCCAAACCGTTCCTGCCTACGAACTCTTTCGCATCAGAGCTCCTATCGAGATGCCGTAGCCGGGAGGGGAAGAAGTGCTTCATCTTGGAAGACGGATCGTCCATCTGCTACGGTGAGCTGGCGAAGCGAGCAGAGTCGATCGCTTCCTTCCTGCAGGATGTAGGAGTTCGGCAGGCAGACATGGTCTGTTTGTTGATCAAGGACAAATCCCTATTCTCAACGACGTTGCTCGGTTGCCTCCTGCATTCCACCTTGGTCATTCTGGCCTCGAATGCAAAACACGCCATATCGATCGTGGAGTCGAGCTCACCGAAGGTGTTTCTCTACGAGAAGATCTATGCTGGCGAGGTCGATGATCTAACGAGCGGCAAATGCCATGACACTCTCTTCTTCAACATGCTCAGATCAGAAGAAATCGAGAAGAAGACGAGCTATTCTTTCCCTCAGTATAGGGGGTCTGTCGTTACACAATCCATTGTTCTATATTCGGGAGGTAGCACGGGGCCTCAACGTGGCGTGGTGCTGCCGGACAAATGGTTGCACTACCTGATGTTCCTCCAAGATCTCGGTGATGTCCATCATTCAGCTCTGTTCGAAGCCTCTGACGATGTTATTCTTCTGGCGGAACCTCCCTGGCGATTCCCGGGTCTCATCGTACTCATATCTGCGTTGAGTTTCGGATGCACTATGGTTCAACAAAGTTTCTTCGACTCCAACAAGTCGTTGCTCCTGATAGAGGAGCACAAAATTAATTGCGTACCTCTAACAGCTTCCTCGATGACTAGTTTAGCGTTCGCTCTAGCCCTGTCAGAGTACGAACTCCCATCTCTCCAGTACATGGTGAATCTCGGCGGAGCGTTGTCGAGCAAAGCAGGTGAAATTCTGATGAAGCGCGTCAGCGGTCTCGGTCACATACGGCAAGTTTACTGTTTGACGGAATGCGCAATCGCCACGCGGAAGCGCGGTCATAAGGATATCCTCAACATCGGAGCACCGCTTCCGGGTAATCGTGTGAAGATTGTCAGAAATGGAGAAAAGTGCTCTCTGAAAGTCCCCGGCGAGATCCACGTTGTTGGTGAATGTATGCTCTCCGGCTACTTAGAAGGGGCCAATTTGCGCTTCGTGACTCACAATGAGGAGTGGTTCCGGACCGGTGACGTCGGGTTCTTCGACGAGAAAGGTGATGAGTGCTCGACATCCTTAACGAGTTCTTCTGATCTTTATGGCGCTCAGACGGGCCCGGGCGTTCGGTGAGCGCCATTTCTGAGCGCATATCGGATGGGCTAGTAATTAATTGAACGAGAGAAATTGAGAAATTGAACATTGCAGGCAACATCCACCTGCTTGGAGGATTGCTCGACATGTTCGTTTGTGCCGGCGAGCAGATCTCGGTTATCGAGCTTGAAGATCTGCTTCTGCATCATCCTGCCGTAGAAAAGGCAGCTGTGATTGGGGTGCCTTCAGCGGAGCTCGGTGAATGCGCGAGAGCCTTCGTTGTCCCTCGATCGAGTCAGTTTCTCGATTGTTATTAGTGATTCGAGAATTAATTTCAATCGGATCAATGCGATGTCGCCGCCATCTCGTCTTGATGTCGATCGATCGGAATGTGAGAGATGATCAACCCGAGCTTGAAACCGACCTCTTTCTCTTACAGGACCTGAAGACGCTCATTCAGAAGCCGAGGGCATCCGGCAGTTCATTCGCTTGCGATCCCCCTTCCATAAGCAGCTTCATGGCGGGGTGGAGTTCCTTCGGAAAATTCCTTCAACAGAGATCGGCTTGCCGATCAGGAGAGTTCTGCGTGTGAGGTATCTGAGCGCTACTAATTAGTAGGGTCCAGAACCAGAGACCTCGATCGCCTAGCCCGACCCAATGCTGTATTCAATCGCGGTGCTCGAGCCGCTGAGAAATCTGACCCCTCTCCTCGAGAACTCGCTGGACGAAGGCTCGACCCGAGCCAACGTCCTGCCCGATCAGTATGACCGAGTGTTTTCGAACATTCAATCGTATCGTTCTATTTCTTTCGGAAGGAAAATTCGCTGAATCAAATCTTTCGGAATATCCGCCGCGCATTATACGTATGCAGAGACTAATATGATGAGAATCGGCGCATGCTTTTCGATGTGTTATCGAATTGTTACAAGATTGTATTATATTATGAAATCGGGGTTGGTGCGCTCAGAGTAGCACGAGAATGCTCATTAGGACAGCAATTATTGTGGGTGAAAGAATCTCTCCGACTTGGGTCAAATCATCCGCTTGGATCTCGGTTCGTGATAGCGATATTGATCCATTCTTTAGAATTGATTCGGTACTGTGCTACGGCCTGAATAAATCGCGGACATACGAGTCTGGTTTCTCAAATCTCAACAAGCTCTTTCGATGAACACAATGATACTCGTAGACATTTTTGGGTCGTTTGATATGGAGGGAATACTCCGCGGCATTCCGTAACTATTCGAAGGTTTCAGAGTAGACTTCCCTCGATTTGTTACCTTCAACCGCAAGACATGGCACGAGGGAGATGGTCGAAATACCATCTACATCTTCTCCCAAAATCGGTCCCTCTTCTAGCGCAAGAAGATCTTCATGCGAATCAGATCTGTGGCGCCTCGAGAAAATCTTGGAATCGTGTCAAAACGGATGGTGGATGCACAGCTTCAATGTCGCGATCGACCAAGGACAATGACGTGCCCTGCACGGAGGCACTCGTCGAAACCCTACCATTCGGTCGAACGTCACCGACGACGCCGACGGCGGAGAATGAAGACTCATTCGGCGCCGGGTCAGAGCTACAGCTGGAAAGCACCTCTTGCAGCTCCCGTGGGACAGTGGGCGGCGATTGGACGATCGGGTGTGAGGCATCTGGTTTCTCTCTCTTTCTCGTCAGCGGAGCTTCTCATAAATGCCGTTTCTGAGCTTGAAACTCCATTCTGATATCATCCGTGGTTCATCTTGGGTCGAGTAGCGGATAACTTCACGATGCATCGAGCTCTCCTCATCGTCGGCTATCTCCTACCCGTGGTATTGTGCCAGCAGGTCGGTTTCACCCTAAGCCGAGGCCACAAAGAGAACACGTATATCCGCTTCGAGTTCGTCGCCACAAATCTCAACGCAGAGCTCGATCCAGAAGTCGGTGCTTTCCGATGCACCGAACCTGGTCTGTACTTCTTCACGTTCACTGCCCTGCCGACTCGGAACGACCTTTTGAAGGTGTCCCTCCGGAAGAACCGTATCCCGGTTACTACCATATTCGGATCCGAAGGCTCGCACTCTTCTGTCACCGGCTCAATGGTGCTATGGTTGAAACCGAACGACATTGTTTATCCGTTCGTAGAGGACGGAAACCTGTACGAGTCCACGGCGAAAACTCGTGCTCTGACAACATTCACCGGCTTCCGGATACCTTTAGGAACGAAGAACAACCCTCTCTCTGAAGTCATGTCTAGAACAAACGAAGGAGGCGAAACCTTCCTCGGGATCGAGGACCCCGAAGACAAGATCGAACAGTTGTTCAAAGCGGTCAAATGAGCCCTCGATGGAAACGCCATGACTGAGACCTGGAATTTCCCATAATTTATCACTGATCCGGAAATAAAAATTCTGTCTGTAAAGAAGCGTTTTTATTAGACCAGATTCCGGAAATCGAGGAAAAAATTTCGCGTGTCGATCATCCCATATCCAGATGCATTTTCGGCATAAACTAATCAGATACATCATCAGAATCATCCGACAGGTGGGATATTTTCGCCGGATGCCATCCACGATTCCCTATGCCGCGGAGCTGGGATCCGGGCGGTCGTCCGATGCCGCCTTAGGCGCCTTAGGTGACCTTGACGAGAGTTCCTCTTCCACCGTCGAGTCGGACCATGTCCCCAGAAGAAAATATTTGCGTCGAGTTCTCGATTCCGACGACGCAGGGGAGACCATATTCGCGGGCGACCACAGCACCTGGAGTTTGCCCGTATTCGTATCAAAGAGCGGAGTGCTCGTCAATACCGGGGAAATAAAATATTTTTCCAAAAAATTTTGGCCAAAATTTGGGTACGAACCGTGCGACACAAGTCCTCCAACTTCGGTGACGACCCCACCGAGAATTGGGAAATATGGGGTCCATCCAGTATCGGTTGCGGTCGTGATGAGGATTTCGTTTTTCTCAATGAGGTGAGCTTCCGTTTCGAAATGCCTGATCACTCTGGCTCGACCCTCAATAACTCCTCGGCAAACCGGGGTTCCTTTGAGTTCCATCGACGTGTCCGAGAATATCATCGATTCCTTTTTCTGAGGGAACCCGTATTGTAATACCGGATATTGCTCGTTGTCCATGCGGCTGTGCAGTCGTCGCCGCCTCACGGCTCTGTACCGGGAAAGTCATGATTCATGATGTGTCACACCGGAATGATTCAGCAAGCGAAATCGTTCACGGAGCTCCTCGTTTGACATTCACCTAGCAACTAAAGATGGATTCCGAGTCTTGATGAGCTGATGGATTTCGTCGAGCTCCAGAAATAGCAGGAGCTCTCTTTCTGGGAGACGTCCCTCTTCCACCATGAGATCCGCAAGAAAATTGAGGGCGATGCGGATCTGGTGTATCGATCTGATCAGGGCCGACTTCGCGATCTCGCGATTGACGACAGCTTGGCGAGCCCGAGGAACCAGGAACCTCAAAAGGAGCCTCTGCGGCAGAGATAGTTCCAAACCTAACTCGTTCAAATCATATTCCGTATCGGCCCGAGCTTTCGGCTCATGAACAACGCGTGCTGCCACTTGCAGACTCTTGATGAGTTTCAAGGGCCGCATTATCCAAGGCTCAGCTGCAACATCGAATTCTTTCACGCAGCGGTGTCCGTGCTTCTGGAGAAACTCTCGAAACCTTCGGAGGTGAGGGAATTATTTGAATAAAAGCCTCAGAGTCTAGCTGTCTCTTCATGGATAGTTTGACGAAGTATCGGAATGTGCTCAGTAGCACCTTTTGCCGTCTGTGCTCTCAGACTCGGAAAGCCATTTAAGGGCCTCTTCCGGCTTCATGGCTATGAATTTTTCCCTGTCCGGACTCTTCGACAGACCTGCTCCCAACCTCTGGAGACTCAGGGGTACGTCTACGCTTTCAATGTCTCCCGCTTGCAGAAGCTGGGCTGTTATCATGAGGATCTTGTCGTCGATCTCTGAGGAGGAGAGAGGAAATATCCTTATAGTAATCGATAGAGTTCCACGCGAAAACTCGGAGGCTCCAAGCCGTGATTTCTGGACTCGATAACACTCCGTGATTTCAGCAGCCTACCTCCGTTATTGGCTTTGGACAGCGTATTCACGACGAATGCATTCGAAATCGACGTTCCTATGAATCCGCGGAAGAGTGTTGTGCAGAACTGCGCGTGAAGATCAACTTTTTCAGCGAAGGCAGACAGCGAACAGACATACTCGAGTCGGAGACAATACAGGAAATCGCGACTTTTCGAGGACAAGCTCTGCCGCGAGCAGATCATAGTTCAGATTCTGTTCTAGTGGAACAATCTCGGCAACTCACGCCGCCCATTTGGAGCACGGACTTGACGATGTAGAGTAGCTGCTGATGAGCCGTCAAATTCTCGTTTTGATAGACTTTGAAGTTCTTGCTGCGCTGTGCGGCCTCTTCGAAAACTCTGGTCGGTAAGAAATACTGAAAATTCGAGTGCAAACTCTTGTCCATTATACTTTAGTTTCTAAATGAGCAGAGCAAAGGAAATACTCATAGCGGTCCCAACCTCGATCAGTCTTAGCATTTGGTTGAATTTGAAGATGCAGCTCCTCGGACGGTTCGTTTTGCGTCTGGCTCCAACTTTTATTGGATCCTCGTCGGAAATGTCTTTGCCGTAGGAGGCGTACATCATGGCCCGCTGAATCGGATTGCTGAAGTCTCTCTGGAAGAACGGAAGTATCGGTGTGTCCAAGAGCCGGACTCAAGATTAGCATCGACCCCAGCAATCTAGGAATGTACGGATTGTGGACGATGTGCCTCATGAGGAATCCTGCTCACTTCGCTCTCCGGTAGGAACATGAATTTCCTAGCCATCGGGACATTCGCACCAGGGTATAGGGATGATTCGAATTCATCGGGCGGTCTCGAGCTCGATAGATATTCACGGGCGAGAACTCCGAAGATTGCGCTCGTCAGCTGAGCGCCGAGGGGGGACAGGGCACCCGGCAATATCTCTCTGAAAGACACCTCGATTTCATTCGCAATTAAACGACTCGATCATCGGCTGGGGCCGATGGGAGAACTCGTTAGGACATTTATACCCGAGTAATCCCCGGTATAACGGTGGACACGTTTCGTGGTGTTGAGTCGTGAAACCCACTCCATGAGAGCTCTGCTGAGTATCTCGTCCTCTGATTTGATGTTGCCGTTGTTGTCATTGATGATTTCGAAGTCGGTTTCCTTTGTGACCGAAGTAACGGGTCGACTTTGCAGAAGGAAGATGCGTTCGTCCACGAAAGCCCACTCAATGTCCCGAGCAGTGGTGGAGCAAGATTCGACTTGATGACCGATCGAAGCCAGCCTTTTGACCATATTATCGGACATGCAAACCTGCCACCGAAGTAACGGTGAGCATTATTTTCGAACCTCTCTCAAAACTATGCAGATTTCTAGCTGTAAGGCTTTGCAAGATCTGCGATAACTTGATTGAACCTTCCCGAATTACTTTTTTCCGGTCGTCCTCCGCAACTTCCCTCTCCACCGTTCCACCGCTTTCGTCCTGCTCAATGAGCAACTTCTTCTTCCCGATGATCACATTTTCCAGCTCAACACGTCCACTAGATGAGCGACGAACTTTGAAAGTGTCCGGCTCCGCAGAAGCCGAAACCACGGACTCTCCGAGTCCGTAGTTTGCGGTGATCGTGATGATTCTGCAGAAATAATGGACTGATGTTAGGAATTTGCGACGGAGGTTCGAAATCCGCAACACATAGGAAGTTATCCGATTTCCGAGGAATCTCACTTGGGGCTAGACGTGACGGGATCGCAGGTGAACATGACTCCCGAAATCGACGAGGAAACCATTTCCTGCACAACTACGGCCATTTTCGACGCCACCATCTGACCGTACTGTCGCTTGTAGTTGACGGCGGTGAAACTAAATTGTGAGGCCCAACATTTAGCTACACTCTTGAGGATCTCGACGAAGTCAGAACCTCGAATCCCGAGGAAAGTCGTCATTTGGCCCGCAGCGGACATTTCTTCGGAATCTTCTCCCACAGCCGAAGATCTGATCGCAAAGCGACGTTCGGTCAAATTTCCGAATACCATCATCTTGGTCTGGAGTTCACGAACGATTTCTGCCGGCATAATAGACTTCTCAATTATCCCTACGCAGGCTTCGCACGCGACCTTGAGCTCTGCGATTTTCGGGTCCCTGCGGAGAGTAGCGCTCAAATCCTGTATGGCGGTCTGAACTTCGCGCATCTTTGAGAACATGTCGTATGCAGCCGTGGTGAGAACTACAGCTGTAGGCACGGTGAACTGCAATGTGATTTTTCGCAAGAAGAGGCCACAGAATTACATTAGAGAAACTCTCAGTATCTGTTTATCACCAGCGAGATCCCTCTCACAGTCACGGAAACCTCATTCTGGGAGTATCGGCGTCCGGAATACTCACGCTGTTGAATTGGCGAGAAATCGAGGTCAGGACTGCCAACGAGGATCCTTTACCGCCTGTGAGATCGGCCCGTTTGCAGTCCTCGTCATCGGTGGACAGGACCAGCTTCGAGACCGTTTTCCCGCCATCGATTGCCGCATGTTCGTACTCAGGCGGGAGTGGCAGGGTCGGTCGCTCGTGCCTGCGATCAATAACTCGTGAACACGACGCACGCTTTTTCAGCAACGACGGTCTCGTGCGATCCGTTTCTCTTACAGGAACGACGAACGTGTTCGCTATCCTCGCTAATGTACTGCACAAATCTTCGGTAAAAATGAGGTACTTCGCGAATTACATGTCAATTTTCAGAGTGATCACCGTTCCTCTCTCTCCGTCCAATGAGGCATCTTCTTTGTGAAGCGTGAACTCATCGCTCACCATCGGATGCTTTGTGAAAATCGACATCGATGGGAGAGTCATCTGGCCTACTTGTACTCTGAAGGTCTCGAATTCTGTTGAGGAACCAGCGTAAGCGCTCCGGTTCGAGAGCTGGATGATGTCATCGTACAGTGAAATATATTGCGATGTTTCTGAGGTGTGGTCGAGGAATAAGGCACCCACTATTCGAGACGGCAATCTGGCTACTGGTTACGTCGGCTGCGGTGATCGCATATGCTTTGGTGCACGGGTCGTACAGAGAACCCAAGTTCAGGATGGTGTTCCCTATGTGGCTGGAAACGACGTGTATTCGGTGGCCTAGACGGAAATGGGCGAATCGATGTATTTCGTTCCGCCGTTGTCTGACTCCGGACTGATTGATCCTCGAGCCCCATAGATGTATTTCCACGGGGTCGTTTTCTTCCACGATGACTTCTAGATCAAGCCGTCTGAAAATTCAATGGTCGATGAGAATGGAAAGATCATTGGGAAGGGATCCTGCCTAGATGTATAAGAAGTGAGCCACCGACCCGTATTGAGAGATGGAGAATTGTTCCTTGTAGATCGCGTCGAGTTGAGATGCCAGTTCAAGAGGACGGAGATGAGACAAAGAGTCCGACATGATGCCCACGGGAGCTTCCAAAGGATGCTCAACGGTGTGTGATCCCGCTGTCCATCTGCATGATAAGGGAAGCGGAAACTCCGTGATCTCCGGGAGCCTGGTTCGAGCGCCGCCCCTCCCTGATCCATGGTCATCGAATCCTCTCAAACAATCAGAAAAAGTCAACCTACATGCCAGAGAACTTGACGTGAAGTTCTTCACCATTCTGATCCTCCATGAGCCCATTGAAGCTCAATTTCCATCTCCGCATGGGCGCCAAGCATTCGAGTTTGAGTCCGCAGCCGTAGTAGCTCAAAGCATCGCTCAGGTCTAATTTGATGCTGTTCTGCAGAACCAAAATGTTGCTGTTGTTCAGCTGCAGGGCGATGAAAACTTCGCACAAGCCCTCGTGCAGTCGGCTCAGGCGTACGATCAGGGAAGACTCCGTGCGGATATGAGTGCCTTGGAAGATGAGCGTGTCCTCACGGATCTACGAACGTCATCATAAAATGTTCAGACCGGTCAGACTTCTCGCTTATGACCAGCGAATCGATAGTGAAAGTGAGATCTCCACCGGAATCCGATTCATCGACTCGGCATTCGTATCGCACTACCTTGAGATGTTCCTTAGTTTTCGGCCGTTCCTGATCCCACTCATGATCGGGATGGAAGAACCCCACGCTCTCTGGACTTAAATCCTTGATAACAGTTTTTGGGTGCGGGAAGCGCACCGCCTTTGTCTTTGTGATGTAAGTCAAATACAGAGTGCAGAAAAAATGCTTGAGATAATACGAAGCACCTGGGGGAACCAAGAAACATCTCTGTGAATGTGGAATCTATAAATCAGAGAGAGTGAGTTGAATCCCATGGGAAATTAATGAGTCTTGATGATGGCTTCGAGCAAGAACCAGTCTTTCGGATCACAAAAGAGCAGGCACCCCTCGAGCTTGAGCCTTTGGTATATATTCATCGCACAGAGACATCCACATCGAGACGTAGTTCTTATTAGGCAAAGAAGAGACATGAGTGAATTAGGCTCTTGGCTCGAGGGCTCTCAGTCAGACCTCTCGCTCCGAGTCGCGGTGGATCACAGCAGTGAACAATTAAATCAAGCTCGCAGCTCCGAGGAGCTCAATGGGGTACATGGAGACCTCGTATAAATTAGCTTACAGCCGAATCACAGGAATGATCGGCGTTGAGCCGATTATTATCGACGTCGACGTTTCTGCCGGTTCTGTTCATTCCTGGAGGTTCGAAGTACCCACCGTTGTCGCAGATGATTTTGAGAGCTCCACAGAGTTCGCCGACGGCCGCTTGGGTCAGCGACACTATGATACCGAGCGATGCAGCCATCGTGGAGCGGCTGATTGTGGTCCGTATCAGAGCAAGACCTCTTGTGGAGTGATCGTGGTTCCCAATGCTCCAAAGTCCCACCTCTCACCGTCGAGTTGCACTCGTCTTTCGGGATCCCTTTCCCTTGTAGATTTCCGTTTTCATCGACATTCGCATACATCGCTCAACACCGCCGAATTGCCCGAGGAAGTCTGAGAGGCCAATCGCCCGGGGGGATTAAAATTCTTCTCGTCATTCTCATTGACGATCGCATCTTGAATGAGTTCCAGATTCCGCGATATGCGTCGAAAAGCCAGCACACCTCTCGCATTCTGCTTTCCTTACGTATCTGACGCGAGCCTACGGATACTGTCTTCTGAAAAGTCTTTATAATCTCTGACCGTGACTCAGCAGGAAAAAATTATGTATGATCTCGCTGTAGGGCCATAGTTTTCGCCGAATTGAAGAAAAAGATTCCAGAGTGACTAACGGATGAGATGTAGCCCGCCACCACGGACTGCGAGGGACGGCGCGAGACCTGTGAGTTGAGGGTCACGACCCAGGAGATAAAGACGGGGGGCACTGTGACCAGCGATCAGTCCGATAGTCTGCTGCGACTGGACTTTCGGCACATGCGAAATCAGTCAAACCCGACTTAAGCCATGAATTGTCGCGTGACGATCTGATGCAAATCGAGGGACGACTGAAATCTAGGGAGGATTCTCCGGGGAGCTGGAAAAAACTCTCTCGCGGTCTCGGCAGCGAAGACATGGTGTGTATGTTCGTCTCTAGGCTGGCCGATGGTTTTATCCAGACGTCGTTCGATTCGTCTCACATGACGACCATTTTCAATTGAGTCTTCTTCTTTCCGGAGAATAACTTATCAGGACAACCTCCTCCTCATAATCTTCTGAGTTGATGCGGTGTGGAACAAGGGTGCCTATCTATGATGTCTATGATCTTCGAGGTGCGATCGGGATGCATTTCTCGGTCGTTCGTGAGAGCCTGCTCAATCAAGCGAAACGACGGAGTCCCAGACCTCAGAGCTATTGCATCCCCGTCGCTATACTCCCAGATTGACCAATTCATAGGTTAGATCGATGGGTGAAGGTTTAGCCGATCTTCTGAGGGTATGCTCGAACTTCCGAAGCTTATGCCGTTTCGCGCCCGGGGGATGAGGAATGGCGCGGCGCGACTCAAACAGATAGTGCCGCGAATACGATTCGGGTTGCCGGTGGCCACGCAAGTCTCGGCTCCGATAGGCGATCCGCGATGGCTCAACAGCATCGCAAAAGGCTCTTCTGGGTTCAGACCAGCCGAGACTCAGATTTCTGCGCTCCTCATTTCCACTGCTCCCTGAAGGGAGTTTTTGCTAATTGTCAGATAATTCTCAAGTCTCTCATCATCCGTATTTTCGACTCATATCGGGGGTTAGGCTCTCGAGGTGCTCCGCCAACGCGTCCGTGATTGTGAGAACGCACTTGACTGTCTATTTGGTGAAAGGCGGTCTTTCCTCGACTTGCGACTCCTAATCCGGATCGGAAATTGAAGAGCCACAACGCATGGAAGGACGGATCTTAATCGACTAATTGTCAGAGGGAAGGTATGTATGTTTCATCCCGCTCCCCAATGATCACAACGGCGGCCAATTACGGACCCAGGAACTCTGTGGATTCGTGTTCCACAGAGACAGGTACAATCAAGGATCGACGCTTGCCGAGCGGAAGGCTCGAATTGGATAATGAGATTATGCTCGGGTCGAAGTCGCTGATCGAACGAGACAAAGCAGCGGAGGTCGCGAACGGAGAGAAGCGATAAAAAGTAAGCCACGAACGAGTCGACTGGAACAGGAGCGAACCCTTCGCTGAGGCTTGGTGCCTCGAATTTCGCAGGGGGAGGAGGAGCATTTTGAGATGACGGCTCGCCCCCCCCCTCGATAAGCATCCCCGATTCTCGGATCTTGGAACTCCTGGGACGCTTGTTCATCGGAGTTCTCGATCCCGTGGCAATTATCAGCAAGTTTTCCAATGGGACCGGAGCAGTCATCAGATTCGGGAGCGACTGCTCTAGGCGCTCAACCCCATCGGGTATGCGGAGGATGGCAAAATCGTCTCTAGGACGCTCTCAGGCCCGGGAGCCTCAGCCGACGTATTCTTGTGGCTTCACAGACTTCCGCCTCCTTCCATTTTCGCCTACGCTCAGGCGAAACAGGTTATTAGCAACGCCCGAGGGCCGCGACCGTAGCGGATGCGACCTACCTGTATTTACCTCCCACTTGACACCTGTCGCTTTGCCGGAACCCGCTCCGGTTGGTCTGAGGGAGTCTTCCGAGAAAACATTCGGCAATGATTTGTTCCACATCATTTTACTCATTGATATAATATGGTGACGCTTTCAAAATAAATTATCAGGCTATACTATTCATGGGGACGCGCCTCTCCCCGCCTCGTTTCTGAGGAGTCAATGACGATGAGGTCATCGATTAGTCGCACGTGTTTACATTTGTTTTCAAGGACAGCCAACGGAACATAATTCTTAAGCTGTCATTCTTAATCTTCTTTGGCTCGCAGCTGAGTGAGAGTACCGATATCGATCCTGTCACTCGGACCATCGTTTTGACCCGTTCGGTCATTCGGACATCGAATACTAGAATCGTTATCAGAACTTATGGCGGCTGAACGGCACTTTCGGTAATAGGAGATGTCGCGGCCAGCGCCGCGACTGATTCATAAGACAAGTCGTCAACTTCTGACACAGAATTATTCTTCGTGCTCTGGCAGGAACAATCAATCGAATGGCGAGAATCGTGGACTCGCCCAGTTTTTTCTACCTGTGCCGCGTTCCTACTACCTCGACAGCGAATCGATCACGAGCAAACTCTTCATCTCTTCTAATAGCTCGGCTTGCTTTTTTATAATCTCTAATAATCTCGAGATGTTCTTTCCGTCTTTGGGAGTTTGACTTCCGTGCTGAGTGACATCCTCTCTGTCGATTCCCAGACTTTGCGCCAGCACTTTGTACCTGTCGGGAAGAGACGGGAAAACGTCAGGGAAATTATCATCGATCACGAGTGGGTTCGTCTATTCCATCTCTTCGTGTGCGAATTCCCCTGGATCCAAATCACCCTCCGGACCGAACGGTGGTCAGAAGCATGAGAATCGATTCGAAGATCGGTCCAGGGATACACGGTGCAGCGATCGACAATAGATTGCGTAGAATGCAAGGATCTCTGATACCAAGTATCAGCTGACACTGACCTGTCACGCTCTTCCTTCGTGTCTTCCAGTTCAGCCTTGAGTTTCGAAATGTCTTCGTTCGCCCATTCGAGTCTATCCTCGAAGGTGTTCAGCTTCTCCTCGAGCTCGAACTCCTTCAATTGGAGTGTGTCCTTGAAATCCTCCATCTCCTTCTTGAGTTTTTCACAATTCGAGCAGGACATTCTGGTGCAAACGAAAACTGATCGCGAACGAAACTTTTTCCGCGGGTCTTGAGCTCCTCGTTGGCTTAGCGGGAAGGACCTCCAAGAGCGGCACCGTGCTGTGTTCTCAAGCGAGGGATCACAGTGAGATTCCTATCTTCGGATATCCGATGACTTTTCGATGAATGTTGTCGTTGACGACGAGTCGGCGGTCACCGCCACCACAAATAATGCGGTCCGTCCGGCCGGCCCAGCATTGGCAGCGAGGCGCACCGTTTACCTAAGGAAGGCCCTCTCCGATACAACGGCCGGGGCTGCTCTTTCCTGGCAGTCGTTCGAATCGTGGCGCCAACAACACGACGAGCCGACGCAGGCTTGCGGGATTTCGGGTCGGCCTTTAGCAGACCGGATGTCTGTCCGGGCAGAGGGGTGGGCAAGCGGGGTAAGGGGAGGGGTAAAGAGGAAGGGAATCGAGTTCGGAGCGCGAGGACCACAACACGGGAGGCCCTCGTTCGAGATAGAACCGCAAGATCCGAACAACCAACTCGATCTGAGGGCTCTGTGTGCGCGGAGTGCCTGCCAGACGAAGGAAGCCAGGAACAAGGCCATTTTAAAAAGTAGTTTCCCGTGTCGTGCTCCATCGAAATCATCAGGCCGACATCGTTGCTTGAGGGGAATCGAAGTTTTTTTAGAAATTCTGCATGGAACCCTCCGTCTGACAAACCAACGTAATCCTGTTGGCGCGGAGACTGCGGCGGATACCCATTGCCTGGCGCCTGAGGTGAGTCCGTCTCCCGATTAGCGTGAACGATGCTCCATGATCGAGTGGATTGAGGCGTACTGACGGAAAAGATACTGGATCCGGCTCCGGACAAGAAATCAATTAAGCAAAGACGCGGAGGGAGAAGCTCTCCTTATTGCGAAACGTACGGAACTCAGGCTAGTACTCATTTGCTGTGGAAAAGAAAACTCGCGTTCTCGGGGGGAAAGACTCCGTGATTCAGATATAGCATCGGTATTGGAACTGCTGCCTGGAGAATCCGGAAAGGAGCGGATTCAGGGAGCCGTCCAAGAGAACGCGGTCTTCACGAGCCTTCGATTGGCTAAGGGGAGATGATGAAATATTTGAGGGGAAATATTCCGTCTCGCGGCCCCAATCGTTCGCTACGCGCTTCACCGGAAACTGCCTGCGCTGAAATACTTCGGATAAAGTGTTCACCCGGGATCTGGACGCTTTCCTTTCTCGTGTTGATCGTTCGGTGCAATTACCACTCGAGCTCATAAAGCGCACTGTGTACAATGCTGCCTCGCTCGTCGATGAGTGGATGGGTTATGATCTCCACTACTCGCGGACCTCTCGCGGCGCGATAACGACCCAGTCCTATCAAGGATAACCTGAGCAGCGATGATGAATTGTCCGCGGCATGGAGCTCCGCCGCGTAGAACTTCATTCCTTACTCGGAGGAGCATGCATCAACTTGAGCTCGATCAGCCCACGGGCGACGGAATGCGTGGGATGAGAGTGAGAGAACGGAGAGGTGGCTGGAATCACTAAACCGAGAATGAGCTGAGCGAGTTTCTGATCGTTCTTCACGAATGATGAAGTGAAGCAGGTACCTATAGCCCCCGCGCGGATGCCATCGGTCAAAGCCTCGACGAATGAAATAATTAGTCTCGGCCCACCAGCCGACCGGCGCCGCCGAACACGCGATTGGACAAAGTTCGCAGAGAATCGATCTTTTCGCTTTTTGCTGATTCGCAAACTTCCGATTAGGACCTCTTGAAAAAATTCCTGAACGGCACATTTCTCTATCGGCGGACGCGTACGCGCGTCGGTGGACGGAGCAATACCGCATCAGCGGGGTAACGGTGACGGGCGGATCGTCGATAAGGCAGATGAAGATCTACGAAATCTCTCCGTCTCCCGCTACTCCTTCCTGGCGTACGGTATATGCGCTTCCGAGAGCCTCTCTAGAGAGCCTCTAAAAAAGTCCCGTGAGATGACGAAAATTTTCCTATCGATTATCTTGGGTGTCTAGAATTATCACGACTCTAGGTTGCTCTGCATTCGGCCTGACCGTGGTTGCCCAATTTATTCGAGAACGATGTCAAGTCCGGAAACGATGGCATTGAGGTGATTCGCAAGGTTCGCCTCACGTGTCCATCGCCAGCGCGATCAGCATCCGAGGCAAGGAGCGCTATCCGATACGAGAGTGCGACAGATCCATTCGTTGAATCTGAACCTTGATTGCGAATCGCGCAATGACATTCATGGGTGTACGAATCGCCCGACAAATCGCGCAGCTTCGGCCCCGGTTCTCGATAGTCATCCTGAGAGATTCTCGGTAGGTTCGGGGGTGACGGTGGATTCAGTCAGCGGAGAAAGTCTGTTTCCCGGAGACTTTAATGCGTCTTGCCCGTCCTTTCCTCCGAGTTTCAGCTCTCGTCGAGTCTGCTCTCGTTATGCGCGACAATCTTTGAATGCCCCGGAGAATAATTGGCTGCACGACGACCAGCGCCAGAGAGGGGGAGTGATAGAACTGCGGGGCGGGGAAAATCCTTACCAGGAACAAGTTCACTCTGATTGGAATCGGAGGGTGAATTGAAGTTCTCGAAAGAGACTCTCGATTGCTGCACTACATGAAGCTGGTCGCCGAGAGAGAACGTTTGATTCGGCCAGCATTCGAACAGCCTTATTCTCCCACGCTCGCTGCTTGCTTGATGGATCTGATAATTGGAATTCTCGATCTCACATGAAAGTTCTGGCAATAAACTGAGGCCAGTTTCCCACGATCACTCAGCTGCAGTGCGCGGAAGACTCCACCATGCCATCCAGGGCCAGATCGGAGCCGTCAAGGAATTGAGCTGCATGCAGATCGTGATATCGTTATTATACATTGATCTGTGGAAAAATCCAACCCCCCAACCGAGAATGGGTCCCTCGTTGCCCACGGATCGACGAGACTGGACTGGGATCTCGGCCGGATCGGAATCTGAAGAACTCTGGATAATAGGATCCTGTCGTGCGTTCTTCATTCACTGATTTGAACTTAATCTCCCCGCATATAAGACGCTCCAAGTGAGCCTCGAAACCGGACAGCTCGTCTCTGTCGATCCAGCTCCATCAAAATGAGAATTCTGCGAAGGAATCGAGATGGGACGATCGAGTTCCGACTTTTTGGGCTCATCGTCAAGCTGAAATGTATCGAATGCAAGGAGCCTAAATCTATTCCTCGGTTACCTGTAGGACAGTCTCTGCTCGGGGCTGTCCTCGTCTCGACAAAATAATTCCAATCTTGGAAACCGTCCCTATTTCCGGCGTTTCAGGCTCCCTCAGTGTTTCGGAATTCCACCCAGATAGCCCCCAACATCAATCCTGAAGTCTCAAAAGCTTGGCCGTGCTTCCTCCCGGGACAGGAGAGCCTCCCAGTAAAACTGTCTTGTCCTCTCCGAGGAGTTCCGCTGCTTGATGGGGAAGCTCTTGTGGAAGCATTCCCGAGATACCATCTGCGTGAGCTCGCTCGAGGGCAGGATTTTCATCGTTGCGATGCTCTCGGGACCGAGATTCTTCAGATCGTATCTAGATTGAGCGATTAGCGCTCGGGTAGTCCGCAACGTCTTGTAGGATCAGGCTCTTCACGACCTGAACGTCAGTTGAAGAATCACACTGACTATGCTTGACACCGGAAGGCAGCTCGCTCAGATTCTCGTGGTGGATTGTCGCAGGCCTCTGCCTCGATGCATCAACCTCGAGCTACACCCGGGAATCGTTTTCATTCGCAATACCTAATCACGACAAGCGGGTCTTAGACTCCGGCTCCGAAAATATTCTTCCGTGGTCGTATGAGAATCAGGTGTCATGGAACACATTTTGGTCCGCTGGGAGGGAACAGCAACCCGATCACGAGTCATGCCGCGTATCCGGAAGGCTCATCCGCGCTCTGGCCGTTCTCGGGATACGGGAGCGTTTTCAGCCGCCGCAGGTTTACTTGGGGCACGCTCGAACATACCTTAGTTGACGAGACGGACCATTGAGAACCTTCGCGCTTCCCGTCATTGTATTGACGAAGTGAGTTGCGAGTCTCGCCGAGAGGAGGATTGCGTGAAACACCTGGCGATGAATAAAACTTACCCCGACCGCGCACCGCTTAATCCCTGATCACGTGAGCGTATTCTTAGGGAAAATTATTCATAGATTTAGACATCCTACCATCGGTGAGGGGATTCTGACTAGTCTCCACACAGCAGACAATAGGAAGTGACCAAGCGTGTTTATTAGTTTGGAGTATTAGCCTCAACCGTTCCGATTTACCGCGACTTGAATGCTGATCGATTTCCTAACCCACTCAGCCGTCGGTCAGGCTGGGCTTGCTTCACTCCGATTGACCGGTGTCGCTGAATCGCTTCGCGAATTAATGGCTTCCGTATCTTGGTTCCTGATGTAATCTGAAATTCGTATTCACGAGGCACGTCTCGATAAGTTTCGCGAGCGTCTCGGAGTATTGTGCTCCGTCCGAAACTAACCCTTCCCCCTGACACGTCTTTTTTTGCGACCGCATCCTCCCGTCGATGCGAGAGCCGCAGCGACAACACAGCGTCCTTGATCAGCACGACGGTGCGGTGCCTCGTCTGGATCCTTCATTCGGATTCCGCTTCTCGCCGTGAGGAGCGGAAGGAAAAAACACTCTCAAAACACTGCTTTCCGCCCCAACTTCTCAGCGTTTGAACTCCTGGAATCCTTTCGGGTATTTGAGTGACTGCTCTTTGTAGTCGGAGGCGGCAGTGCAACGGAATCCAGGGACGACGACAAGATGGTCGAGGATTTTACTGAAATATTCATGAGATAATTGGGAAAAGCGTGAAGGAAAATCTATGAAAAAATTCTCATCCGGGCCGTCTAAGGAGAATAGCATAGAAGACCCTGCCTGAATGAGGCTTCCGTCGTCTTCATGCTTGGAGTCGCTGACTTTCCTCTGACCAATGACTTCATCGACTGCTGTCATGGTCTTTGGGGGAATTACAAGTCGCTCGACCGCTGGCGTCGATTCCATCTCCTCGCGACACCGATCACAATTTACTCTATGATGAGGCTTATGGAATCAGAACGAAACTTGCTCGATCGGTTTCGCACGCCGACGGTGGATATCGAACCTGATCCGAGGTCGAGTAGCTCGTATCCCTGTGTATTCAAGGGGTTTGCGAAGTAAAGATCGATTCCTTCAGGATCCTTCATGTTTCGGAACAGCGACACGAGGGAGCCTC